CGTGTGGTTGCTAATATTAGGTGGTTGCTAATATCAGGTGGTTGCTGTTATCAGGTGGTTGCTAATATCAGGTGGTTGCTAATATCAGGTGGTTGCTAGTATCAGATGGTTGCTAATATCAGGCGGTTGCTAATGTCAGGTGGCTGCTAATATCAGGTGGTCTCTTAACCAACTTTCACTTGTACTCAGTACAATCTGGGTGTACATCATTTGACACACAAGTCAATCTGACTGCGAGTACCTGCGGGATTGGTAGCTGCAAGTCCTGGAACTCCTCGAACGTCACCGAGAGGTTTCCGCAAACGCAACAGGACAGACGGCTCTGCAACTGTCCGTGGAACAAACCTGAAACACGCACCAATGAACACAAGGGGCAAGGAGCACTGCTCTACGGATACATGTACAGCACTAACTCAGAGCTACTGAAGATGCCGTGTTCCGAGACACACATGTACATGTACAGTAGTACTGCTCAATGAAATCCAGTCGCATCACGAGTCAGGTACGCGCCGGGCGTTGCGCGGCCCTAGACCTGCGAACACTGGGCTGCGAAATGGTGCAAGGCGCAAACTCGAGTGACGCGACTGGATTTCAGTGAGCAGGACTGTACTTGTGCATGTGCATGTACAATCGTGTAGTACCATGATTACATTAAGGCTGCACCATAGCAGTTACAAACAGGATTTGTACAATTATAGGTGGCAGTTATTCCAGCACCCTGAGGATTGTGTGAGAGGGCACTAGTATTCCTATTCGGATTTATTTTACACAGTCTTTATATAGGAAATTCAGGTTAAAAATGATCTAATAGTAATAGTGAGATTCATAATATGTGGAACTAAAAATATGGCAAAGAGCTAGGAACAGGCAACAAATTACCCAAGCTGAACTAGCGGTGATACATGTACCAGTGGTACAGCCGTACATGCGATCTGATATCCAAATAAAATGCTACACGTATTATAATGCCTTATGGCCTCCACTGAGTTGATCCTCTCGGTTTTCACATAGGTGCCTTGTGTCTTGTGTGGATGTGTGTGTGTGGGGGGGGGGGGGGGCTGACGGAATCAAGACTTCAAGTGCTCTAATGTAGTTACTGGGTATTAAACTCACTTCGGATTTGACTATCGTGTTTACTACCCATGGCTGACCACATGAGATCTGATTGTTTCTGAACTCTGCAGCAGCAAAAACCAGACAACCAGAGTGGAGAAGAAACAGGGAGAGAAAATGAGAGCAGGAGGAATTGTAGGAGGAACAAGAGCAAGAGGAAGAGGAATGGAACGCACTTAGCAGCAGTAAGGCTACTTCGGAATCACTGACAGTCCAGCACGTATCAGTGAACATATCGCACCAACTCACTCGTACAGTAGCAACAAAGAGCTGTCGCAGCGTAGAATCGCCTTCCAAGCTAGCTAAATGCCGAGCAACTATTAGCCGTCACTCTCCCCTGTATTCTCTTCTCTTCATGCACGAACGTTCAAAAATACTTGAAGTATTTATGAACATTCTAGTATGTGAATACCATTTTTCAAAGTGCTGCACAACAAAGCTCAGCTTACGGGAGTTTGGAGAAATTCTCAGGTAGACTCGGTAGCTGTGAACAACTCGCGACCTTCAGTTCATCATGGAGTTCAGACAAAATGGCATGGAAGAACTCATTTGCATCTTGTTGACTGCAGAAGAAACAGGAGAGAGCAAGGAGGTGCGATTCATGTTGTAACACACTCGAGACCTACCTCGCTGTAGCTGGTACAGTTGACTCTCCCCAGGGCAAACACGGCAGGACATCTTTTCTGCCTTGCTTTTAAGTCCTACTTAGAAACCATGACCAACAGACTGATCGATCAGTTACCCTGGGCTAGCTGCATTCAAGAATACTCAGTTCTAGGAAGTAAGAACATCCCCGCTCTGCCTGCACCACTCAGCAACAGTAGCAGCAGTAGCAACAGTAGCACATAGCAGCCAGCAATATGACCGGATGATTGCAATAGCAGTGTTAGTACGGCAAGGTGATTGGTACCAGACTCATCCCCATGCAGCCTGAACAGATTCCTTCAATGGTGGAGTCCACTAGCTGGCCACAGCGTGCTTATCGACTAGTCTTGGAGGACACTTTGCCACCCAATTCCAGAGTCTACGAGCAGTGACGCCAGAGCAATGGGAATACCAAGCAGGCATAACTCAAGGCATTGCTAATTTCTATAGGCAGTTAGCCTCTCTAAAACGGCTTACCCGGAGCCTCTGAACTGGGAGTTTGCTCTGCCGATGCGCGCCTTGAGTTCGCTTGGCATGAACGGTATCGTTCTGCCCTTGTCCCAAAGTGTTTTGATGAGAGTGACAAACTCTACACAAACACACAGTGAAGTTCATGGAGAGCACCATCATCTGCCTCAAATTGCACAGTTACTTAGAAAGCCTAGACATGAAGCTGAGGAAACACAGGCTAACAATTCGTAAAGAAAGCAAATATATAAGTTTCAAGTGCATATCTGCACAACCACTGGTTGTTCCAAACACAATGAGTTTGGGAAGGATTCACTTTTTTCTGGGCTCCTTCCATGCCTGATGATTATAACCTGTGTTGCATGGTGGCAAGGTACATGTACATGCGCCCTGCAGCAAAGAGCTACGGATCATTTCGGCGCGAGATATAATCATATTTGAATTAGTCCCTTACCAGTGCCTGTGCTGTTTCGGGCGTTCCAGGTCTTGGACTTGCTCCTGAGGAAGGCCTCCATGTCACCACACAGTGCGTAGTCTCGCAGTGGCCTGGTATGACTCAAGCACTGCAGTATACAGTTCATGTAGCACTGAGCGGAGAATATGCATGCACAGTGTGCAGCATAGGAAAGCAAGAAAAGGGAGAGCAAACAGAAATATCATAATCTGATGATTGCCAATACGCCCGCTGGCTTCAATGTACAGACGAGACCTGGAGAAAAGATCATCTGCTTCCATCAAACGCCTGGTCTATAAGGTCACTACTCTTTGTATATGAGCGATTCACCACGAACATGTCAATAAAGATAAGATTATTATACTACTGTTTGGAGCAAAACCACGGCCTGGAATGTGACAGGGCCACCCTGATTTCAGAGGCCACCTGCCTCCACAGACCGCGATAGGTTGGTCACATTAGTGGTCACTGGAGCCAGGCCAGTTATTGGAGCTAGGCTTCGCCGATATTCTATTCACATTACCGTGTTTCCAATGTTCTTCAGGCCGATGGTCGAGTGCTTGGGCATCACAGCCAGCAAGGGCCTCTGCGGAGGAGCGGGATCATATTCCCTTGAGGCGCCTGAGCTCTGCACATACATACAACAAGGAGAAGGGTGCCTATTTCGGACGTCTGCACTGATACAAAACACATACACATACTGCTGCAGTAAACGGCACATGATCATCCTGACATCTCCTGCACAAAATGTCCGACCGCCCTGGGAACCGTCCCACTGCCAAATGGACACTCTCAGCTCAGGACAACGCCACCGCATGCATGTTATACAAGGAGTCGTTGTCATTGAATGTGCATGGTGCACGAGTACAATGTGCACCGGTGGCGTGGTGATGATGCGGCAGTCCAATCAGTAAACTGTCAGTTTGGTCTACATTAATTAACGGTTTGTCAGTTGATGTAGGGCCCAAGGATAATAATATTATACAGGACCATCGGAAGCAGCTTTCAATTGGTACGGCCATACCCTGTCCCCGGGGACAGCATACCACAGCCCTCTCATACTCTGTGTATGGTATACTGTACTAGCAGCAGGGACACATGCCCTTCTCAGCAGTACACATATGATGGTGGCCGCAAAGTTGGTCCGGTGGTGACCTGACTAACCAAATCGGTTCCGGCGGTTCCCCTGCTGTTACACCACAGAGCAGTGCTGTGTTCCTTGCCCCTGTGTTTCTTAGGGCGCGTTCAGACTACTGATAAAAAGTGACCTATTGGGGAAAGTTTCCAAGGTGATTTGATCACGTGACGTTACTTACGTAACGGTAACGTTAGTTTATCGGTAGTGGGTATATCCTTCATGGTTTATCGCCATTCACGGTTTGACGGGGTTCACGGTAGTCTGAACACGCCCTTACCCCTGTATTGCTTACCCCTGTGTTGCATACTCCTGTATTGCTTAATCCTGTATTGCGTACCCCTGTACTGCATACCGCTGTGTTCCTTACCCCTGTTTTGCAAACCTCTGTTTTCCCTACCCCTGTGCTGCCCACCCCAGCTTTCTTACCCCTGTGTTGCTCACCCCTGCTTTCTTACCCCTGTTTTCTTACTCCTGTGTTGCTTACCCCTGTGTTGCATACCCCTGTGTTGCATACCCCTGTTTTTTCGTACCCCTGTTTTTCTTACCCCTGCGTTGCTTTGCTTTGTAGGCGGTGATGTGGAGAAGGGCTGGCTCCGTTGCAGCTTGTCAGCCACTGTGTTGACATTCTCACTTACAGATCCCTGATGATGTCCCGTGCTGGCAACACGCGACGACCGGTCAGTATCATACGCAGTGGGAGAGGATGATTGATAGGGATCACCACCGTGGCCAGAAACAAAACGCGAATTGTCAACCAGCAAGCCCTTTTTCGGAGGCTCCTCAGAGAGCGTTACGGTCAGTGGCGACTTTGGCCGCTCGTAGGGTGCATTGGGGTCGTACCGCGGTGTACCCGCAAACGATAGGTTTGTCTGTGAGTTGCTTCTAGTTCGTAACGGCTGCTCGGCTAGTGACGCGAGGGTGGGTTTCGACTGTTCGGAAGTCAGGTGTGGCTTGGATGGGACAGAGCCAAACGACGAGCGTCGTTTTATGTCCAATGGTGCGTTGCTGGTCTCCGTGAACTGTGCCGTGCTGAATGCATCAATCATGTTGCTGGACGAGGATGCCTTCGACTCGTGCGCAGTGCTGGATGTGCTGTAGAACGGTGCTCTGCGTCCGATAGTCACATCGGTCATGGCCGTGCCGAGAGCTGGGTGATTGTCCGGCGATGCTACCGGTGGCTTGGGTGGCGGTTTGCCCTCGTGTAGCCGGTGATCCAGCTGCAGCTGATGGCCCTTCTTAATGTAGGACTCCACACCCTGAGATGGTTTTAGTGGCCCGGTAGTGCCCTGTTGTTTAGGTAGTGCACCGCCGGTGGCCAGCTTTGAGGGCTGCCGCTGTTGCTGATGCTGCCGCTCGGGATCCTCATATGGCTTCTGCTTCTGTACAGTGACGGGCTTTTGATTGATGCCGATGTGTGTGGCTGAGGAGAGGATCTCGTCCTCTCCGCTAAACTTGACAGACGGCTTTGGTTTCTTTGCCTGATAGGCACCACCGCTCGTCCTAGCCGTCTTCAAGCTGCTCCGACGCTGGCGTTTGACATCCGGTAGAGGTCGGCCCTGCCCATCCACGGAGGTCTTGTTCTTATTACTCAGCGCATCGCGGCTGCCATTACTCAGCGTATCGCGGCTGCCAGAGTCCACACCAGATGATGATGTTGTTATCGTTCTCCCTGCTGTCAGCTGCGAACGTGTTTCATGTGTCTGCATGCTGCCGGTGTACGGTTGCCGGTTGGTGGCAATGTAATCTTTCGCCAGGCCGCCCGTCGCTCCCCGGTGAGGTTTCATCTCGTTCGTCGGCGTCGACAGCGCCATCATGCTCCGGTGGTCGGTGACGTGCGGGAACTCGCCGTGGCCCGGGTGCCGACCGGTCGAGCGATGGCCACTCTGCGGCAGCAGGGACGACCGATCCAGCACGGAGATCTGTGTCGCCGTGCCGTGTCGTGCAGCAGAGGAGCCATGGGACATGTGCGGAGTGTGGTTCGAGCCCGTTCCAGCTATTCCCGACAGAGGCCCAAGGGTCGCTCTCCCCGATACCTCTGAACTCAACCAGCTGCTGCTACTTCTGCCAGCAGTAGCAGCAGGTGGGTTCAGATCATACGGGGATTTCCCGTTGTTGCGTCGAGATAGGTAGTCATGGCTCCCTCCTGGTGCAGGCATGGTTGGCAATAGTATGACGAGAGCTTGCTTCACCTGTACGTCTCCCCAGCCAGCTCACTGCAGGGTCGATGCAACGAGCGCACCGGGCGGTGGCGACTACGTCCAACCTCCGCTCACTCTCCGCCTCAATATGAAGGCATACACCAACAGTGGGAGCTCGCTCACGCTGAATGATCAAGCGCAGAACATGCTGCTCCAAGCTCCGGTGTGCCGTTTCGCCGGGAACGCCGCATTTCTTTGCACTACCACACCCTACAGACTACCCTGGCGTCGAGAATTCTTTCTTGCCTCACCACTGTCTGCTCCTTTTCAACGACTCCAAGCCGGGGGTGCGATGGTGGATAACGGGTCAACCCCGAATAGACGCCCATGAACAGCAGCGGCACAAACCTTCACTGGGTTCAGCTTGCTGATTTGCTGGTCGTTCAAACACAATACACCGAGCACCAAAACTTTCTTACAAAATGATTGCTCTTCGTAGATGCATGTCGCTTCATCTCGTCTAGGCTAGCGCTACCTCATATGCACACACACGCTGTCACACTCTCAGCTAGTCTCATGCTCAGCACACCTACCAAGTACCATGCTACCTTGGCGGCTAGCTAGCGAGGAAAAACGATGAGCATCCAGGCTCACCCATAATCCATATCGCGCATGTGGACGTACAATCATGTACAGTAGATCTACCAATCCATCTCTATGCCAGACTATGCCTATGCCTATGGCTATGGTCGACGGCGTAGATCTACGGGTCCCTACATGCACAGCAGCTAGCTAGCTACATAATCATTACGTGTACCATGGTGTACTACTCCAGTCCAGGTCCCAAAACAGTGCGGTACGCGTGAACATGGTGAACGTGACACGTGGGCGCGTGTTCATGTGTGCTCATTGTTGTTTGTGCCCGATGCTGTTACGCAGTGGCCATGGCAATGCATGGTAACTGACACAGTCATAGCCTTGGCCTTTTTGGCATACCGTTGTACTTGTAAGTTGTAGTGCCAGTAGTGGCCATAGCAAGCACGTCAATGATTGTAGCAGTTCTTTCCCTTACTTTTTGGCCTTAGCTACGGCCTGCTATTGCCACAGTCAGTATTACTATTGCTTAGTATTGGCAGTATTGCGGCCCGATACGCAGAGCCAGGGAAGCCTAGCTACCCGCCCAGTGCCCACAGGCACTACAATGTTGAAGATGTAAATGATTATGTAGATCTACAAGGAAGCCCTAGACAATAGTATGTCATACAATCATGCACAATGTACTTAGGACGTAGGACTATGTGTGACTCCCTGTCTCCCTGTACCCTCCCACAAGACCTGGATGTCGGCAGGTACTAGGTGACGTCCTGTGGGTCATTTTGGGGAAGTGCGTTCGCGCCTACAAAAAAAGTAACTCGTGCATTTTTGCTGCGTTGGGATAAGATGCAGTGTAGACTGTAGTACTAGTACTACTCAGCCTAGTGATAACCATGATAACAATGAGCTCACATCTACATGTACATGTAGATCTGTACAGGTCAGTCAGTACATACACGTAACAGTGCATGTTGCGTGCGTGCACGTACATGTACATGACATTGTGTTCGGTACATATTGAACCTACATGTACATAATAATAATAATAATAATAATAATAATGCGTGCTAGTTTGTACGTGAAGTGTGTGGGTTACAGTGAGGGCTGCGTCCCACCCGCCTGTGTGGATTCACAGGAAGTGTGAGTTACGAAGTCTGAAGAAAATGTTGAACGGCCTCTGCTGGGATGACGACTACACCATAGCTCAGTGGTTAGAGCATCGCTGGCTACAAGCGAGGGTCCCTGGTTCGAGTCCTGGTGGTGACAGTCAATTTTTTCTTCAGACTTTTCCCGTTTGTCTCTTTCCCTCAAACCAGTCAATATTTTATGACTTGGGGCTCCCCGCGTGCTAGTTTGTACGTGAAGTGTGTGGGTTACACTTACAGTGAGGGCTGCGTCCCACCCGCCTGTGTGGATTCACAGGAAGTGTGAGTTACGAAGTCTGAAGAAAATGTTGAACGGCCTCTGCTGGGATGACGACTACACCATAGCTCAGTGGTTAGAGCATCGCTGGCTACAAGCGAGGGTCCCTGGTTCGAGTCCTGGTGGTGACAGTCAATTTTTTCTTCAGACTTTTCCCGTTTGTCTCTTTCCCTCAAACCAGTCAATATTTTATGACTTGGGGCTCCCCGCGTGCTAGTTTGTACGTGAAGTGTGTGGGTTACACTTACAGTGAGGGCTGCGTCCCACCCGCCTGTGTGGATTCACAGGAAGTGTGAGTTACGAAGTCTGAAGAAAATGTTGAACGGCCTCTGCTGGGATGACGACTACACCATAGCTCAGTGGTTAGAGCATCGCTGGCTACAAGCGAGGGTCCCTGGTTCGAGTCCTGGTGGTGACAGTCAATTTTTTCTTCAGACTTTTCCCGTTTGTCTCTTTCCCTCAAACCAGTCAATATTTTATGACTTGGGGCTCCCCGCGTGCTAGTTTGTACGTGAAGTGTGTGGGTTACAGTGAGGGCTGCGTCCCACCCGCCTGTGTGGATTCACAGGAAGTGTGAGTTACGAAGTCTGAAGAAAATGTTGAACGGCCTCTGCTGGGATGACGACTACACCATAGCTCAGTGGTTAGAGCATCGCTGGCTACAAGCGAGGGTCCCTGGTTCGAGTCCTGGTGGTGACAGTCAATTTTTTCTTCAGACTTTTCCCGTTTGTCTCTTTCCCTCAAACCAGTCAATAATAATAATAATAATAATAAATTATGGGTAGCAGCGAAATACCCCCCCCCCCCCTAATACTAGTGCCTAGTACAGTGTATGTTGAGAGACACACCAGCTTAGGAATTTCGCTTGTGCCAGGCCACCACAATGCCTGGTTACGCCATGGTGCACACGTACACGTAGATAATAATATAGTTCTTTCACACAACTTCTTTGTGCTAAGGCGCCATTCATTTTGGGCGTGTACGCGTGTACTAGCATGTTGGGGGATCCCGTGGACCTTTGACCTTGTCAGCTGAATTGTGGCTGGGTGTTTGTATTCTGTTGACCCTGGTGCTGGTGTTACTGATCATTACAGTCTAAGTCTAACCTCCACAGCTCCAATATCAACCCCACCCTGCCCCCCTAGTACCTCAGGCTCAGCACTTGTACATGTACCTGCAGCGGCATGGTTAGCACGTCTCACTAACTAATAACTTACACCAAGAGTACATAACCCCCCAGAGTGTGCAACGCCGATCCAGCTCTTATCTGTGTAGGGTCTTGGTCGAGCGGAATCGGATCTTCTGATGTCATGCGTACACTTCACACCAGCGCAAGGCCGGTCTCGAGGCAGGGCACCATTGTTTTTGATCCAAGAGTACCCGCGACTCCCCGGGTTCCCCTCAGATGTGTACGGTATTATGACGCAAAGATCCGATTCCGCTCGACCAAGACCCTATGCAGAGCTGGATCAGGCGTTGCACACTCTGGGGGGTTATGTACTCTTGCTTACACAAGACACTGTCTCAGTCAAAATAATACTGTCTTCAAATAATTACAACGTCCCTCTAGCTCTGCAGCTCTGAAAAGTTGGAAACCACAGCACCACCGCAACCACTCTACACTGTATTTTAATACAGTAAATTATACTCTGAGACTGAGACGCTGTAACTTCAATACAATACACAGTCATGTACAGTCAGTATCACAAAGGGTTTGCCCGTGGGCCCGCGAAGTTCGTCAGATACAAAAAGCTTCGTGAAGCAGTGAAATTAACTTACTGTCGCAGTGTCCGGCTTGACCCCGACATTCGCGGTCGCTAGCTGCCAGCGAAAGCAGTAGCAGAGAGCTTCGCCCAGTCCCGAGAGTGGCTGCTGTTGGCCGCCGCTGCTGCCGCCGCCTCCTCTCAGGGAGCCAGCACCTATTACAAGTCTTGAGTTGCTATCACTTTGAAAGCTGACATGATCACGTCCCTGCCTGTCTAGTACTTCAATCTCCGACGATGGGTGCTGATCTCTGGACTTGGAGTCGGCCGGTCTATGATTTGCTCGTCCTGGACACCCTACTAATGGCGTATTGTAGATCGCAAAGAACTTCTGAAGAGCCATGATGGCCTCTCGAAGAAATATCGACCACAGTTGTGTGAGCGACATCCCGTATGTTTGTGTTTTGTCTCTCTCTACTTATAGTTTTAACTTGCGACTTTCGGCTTGGCAGTGCTGTGCGGTGCAAGTCTTCATGTCCGCCTTTCGTTGCGGGTAACTGCGGGTTCCTATCCGGTCTGGAAGCGACGGCTGTGGAGCGTCGTTACAAGAACAGACTTGATTTTCGACGAATAAATCTGCATTGTCGACAACCACTTGAACCAGGGTAGCATAACGTAAATTAGGCCTTCGGGCGTACATGAAGTACTCCAAGTACAAGTACTTCGATGAACTTCATGGTGCGGGGAGGCAGCAGTTTGCGACTTGGGCTGTGTTTACATGAGAAATTTCAACCCGGGTCGAGTTCAGCCCGGGTTGAAAGTCTGTACGATAGACAAAAGAGGTGAGCGTTTACATGAAGACAGTTGACCCGGGTCAAATACTGATATGCCGCCAAAAGTCCACTTCTACAGTCCTGTATGGTCACGTGAATCCGTTCGCGCGAAATTTGCATCTGCAGTGCCGTTCAAACCTGGCGCGAGATACGCACAGAAGTACGTTTGTACGATTTTCTTGACCCGGGTTGATTTCAACCCTCCCCTTGGGGGGAGGGTTGAAATCAACCCGGGGCGAAATTTCAACCCGGGTCAAGCGCAATGCGTCATGTAAACGCGCAATTCATTTTATGCACATGGCGGGTTGAAATCTGACCCGGGTCGAACTCAACCCGGGTTGAAACGCCTCATGTAAACACCGCCTTGCTCAATCCGCCCCTATCTGTAGTCCGCATGCACGTCAATCCACGAACGTCTCCCATTTAAAAATTACTTTCCATCGAATGTGACTGTGAAATGTTGAGCTGATACAGTACATGGCGCCCAGTTTGCTTCTTTTAAAACCATTCCTGTTTTGTCGCCGACGCATTTGGTGTGGTAGGTTTCGCATGTGACGATGCTAAATCACACGCCACCTTTGGCTCCAATAAAAGCAGTGTCAAATCTCTAGGAGGAAAAGAAATAATTGTCCTATAAATCATATAATAAGTTTCTATGCACTGCACTGCATTAGTGCTCTATGTCCAATGGACAGAGCCAGTAATACACTAATCACACGGCAATGACACAACCTTAGACAACTGTCTATCTCGCTCCTGTCCTGGCAACAGTCGACCACTCTTAGTCTTACCCCAAGCTGCTAACACAATGGACCAACCAACGAGAACGGATATAGACTACTCCGAATGCAGTGCATTATGTAGTGCTCTCCGGGCCTAAACATCCGTAGGGATACCAACGCGTTTAAAAGTTAACTTAACGTTGGTTCCCTGGCCTA